GAGTTCATGGTGCGCGCACGAAAAAAATAGACACAATATATACCAAGAGAGATCAACTAATTGGCGAACGCTCTCGCAACATCTCACCATTGGACTTTGCTAGCACCTGATTAATAATGTCTCGGGCATGTGAGTGACTAGAAGACGAAACAGTCTTTTGCCTTTGCCATAACATTACATATTTAGTATTTGCAGGAAGAGGATTTTTTTCAACACTGAGTTGGATCGGTATCTTGTCTATTTGGTGCACATGGTTTTTATATAGTTTTCTTCATAGATCGGCTGTAGGAGGTAGGACCTGTTTCAGTGAATCCTTCACTATACACACATGTCTACAGATCTCTTCTGTTGCGTAGTATTTGCAATATTAATGCATTTGATGAGCTTTTGTCGTGATTTCACTACTGCCTACGAGTTCTCCATACTCTTAGTCACTCCTAGAACCAAGGTTAGAACCACGTACAGGAAATAGAATGGGGAAATGTTTGCAATGTGATGATAACATATACATGGTGTCCACTACTCACCTGTAATTAGTCTGAGGTAGTGGGTTCACGTTAAGTTCCCTATTCAGGCTTTAAGATACTGTTTAGGGGTTGAGGGGGAGGGAAGGTGCAGCCCACTTTTCAAAAGAGGAAGAATTGGTTGTAATGTTGGGGAAAAAAAAAAAGAGGTTCACTACCGTGCCTTGCTTAGAATCCTGTCAAGTTTTGGAAATTTTAATGTAGAATAGTTATTAAGAATGTTACAGAAATATAAGATCCCTGTTATGATAGAATAAGAAGCAGTTTAATACATTCTTTGTGAGAGTTTTAGCATATTCTTCGTGATAGCTTTACTTCTAATACTGAAGAATTTTTTGAAACTTGTGTTGTTCCTGATCTGGTTTTTAAAATGTATTTAAAATAAATAATTAAACAGAGTGATACTGTGAAAGAGTAACTTAACTGCCTCTGTTATACCTCTTTGATATCTCTGTTATCCCTGTTTCAAGTTATCCCTCTGTGTAACAGTAGTTTTAACCATTCTTTTTCCTTTTATCTCTTGGGTAGTAGTAACAAACTTTCGATGTATAAGCTATAATTATGCTATGTATTGTAATGTAGTCTAGCTGTATTTATGTCCTGCTTCCTTAATATAGAAATTTTTAGAGTAAAACTTAGTACCCATCATTAAAATTTTAAATTAATCTGTAATTATTATATTGTGTATATTATAACTGAGGGGGCCCACTTACAGCTATTGAGGGAGTCACTACAGCAATTTTACATTTTTTTGTAAAATACAAAGTACATTTCCTCACCCTGTAAGAGAAACCTTTTTTTCCTCCCTTCAGGTTTAATTCTTTCTGTTTGACCTAAACTAAGACTGATTATCTAGTAGTATCCAGTGAAAATGTGTGAAGTAGGAGGAGTAAAGGAAACTCCAGTCATTAGTTGTAAGTTAAAAGCAAAGTTAATATAGATGTACACAGCAAAAAGATTTATTTTAAATGATACAAAAAAATTTTTTTAAAACTTGCCTTGTAGCTGGAACATGTTGGACATCATAAAGAGAATCTTGTAAGTGTGTTTAGCTATTTTGCTATAATAACACATCAGCTGATGAATGTTAAAGTCATTTACATATCTGTATCAACACTAACTTGAAATTAAATATTAAGGGACTAGATTATGCCTGCTTCTTTTAAAGTCCAGCGTGGTTTAATGGTTGTGGCTTTTAAAAATCATACGGGGTGTCCTTATGGAGCTTTATTTTTCATGAGGCTAAACAGCAGTTACTCATTTTGGTAGGTCCAAAAATGTGATTAAAAGAATCTTAGATGTTTCAGTGTTTGCTGTGTGTTTATAACAAGGTCTATGGATAACAGTGTGTAGATGTAAAATTAAAATTATATAGAAAAATGCAGTTGCATGTAAGTTTTAAAATACTTCCATGAACTTTTTAATATCCTGGGCAACTATGAAAATGGCTGTGATGTACTTATCATAATTTTATTTCAGCTGAATGTCTATTTATATAAAGTTGTTTAGAAACAAACTTATTTAGATAGGATACAGTTTAAATTTATAAGTAGATTTCTTTCAGTTGGGCTGGTTAAAATGTTAACTGTACTACAGGTTTATTTCTGTGTTATACATGGTAGACCATAATGTTGAGATAATTCTGTGGTCTGTTATTTTGTAAAATTGCTTCCTTTTTGAAGTTTGCTCAAATATTGGGAGCTGCCGGAGTCAATAATTTATAATGCTTTGATTAAATTTAGAATCTGACTTTTCTTCTGGTGAGGGTTAATGAGAGTATTAAACTGTTTATTTTACTGTTTTCATATCCTCACTTCTATAACTCTAGAAAACATTTTGATCAATGTGAGATAATTTAGTTTTGTCTATTTCAAGTCATTACTTTGGAAATTAGATACGTTACAGATACCAAATGCAAATATATACAGAAATTTCATTTTTCAATTCTTAATGCAATAAGATAGCATTATTAGAATCTTTAATATACTATTTGGAAAAGCTAGTAGTTTATCAAAGAATCACACCTTTATGTTTAACAGGTTCATATCTTACAGGATTTTAAAAATGGTAACACTTACCCCAAAAGAAGTTTTGCTGACATGGTGTCACTGTGCTGAAGAGGCTGTTTGATGCCATAGTCCCTCCTTTTTTTTTCAGATAGAACTTGTACCCTCTGTTGTAAATACTGCTTGCAGCCTTAAACTGAAAATACAAACCATACCCAAACCTTGTTTTAGTTTTACAGTATGCCTGGAGTACATAGACTTTATATTTATTTTTTTCTGTCAAGAAATTATGTAGCTGGTAACATGTGAAAAGCAAAGAAACAAAACAAAAAGAGAATGAGCAAATATTTGAAGGACCTACTATTACTGCATAGACTGTGGTTAGAGAGCACTCACTGACTCTGTTGGTCTCGGTGGCTGGTAGTGACCTGCGGAGATTAACCATTTAAAAACCAGAGACTTCTTGCTGTCCTCCTGGAGAAAGTTTGCACCGCACTTGTGGTTCTGTGGTTGTTTGTGAGGCGAATGAAGCATTCACACAATCCAAAAAAGCAAAAGCTTTAAAACTCCTTTTTTTTGCAAGCACTATTACTGGAGAGGCAGAATCATGTGGTTTGTGACCTCACAGTACTCTAAGTAAAGTGGGACTGCCTACCACTGTGGCTTTTCCCCCTTGCTCTTTCTCTCTCTCTCTTTCTCTCACAAAAGGCTTGTGGTAAGGCCTTTCCTGGCATCCAGAAGGATATAGCTTTTTAATTTTTGTGACTCATGAGGATTTGGATAGAATACAAATGCTGAAGGAGCCCAAACTCCTGTAAGGTTAAGCATTTGTAGAGCAGAGCTCTGCAGCTAAGGGCTTTCCTTTCTACTCCCCCCTCAACCCCTGCCTTTTTGCCTCCTCTTTTTAGTTCATTATTGTGTCTGTGGAAAAATGAACAAAATTGGCTCAAGAGTCTGTGTGAAATTCTGAACAACAGTGATGATTTACAATAATTCACATCTTTGGACTGTATCACATTCTGGGGTCTGCTTCATATTTGCTGGGTGGCTGGATTCCTTCTGTTTTCCTTTTTCTTGTCTTCTTAAACTTGTGAATCTGTAACTCATTGTAAAAAAAAAGTTTACCTTAAGGTCTGGTTGCAAACTGCTTGCTAGGCTTGACTATAATTGCCTGTCATGAAAGTGTTAGTCTGGGCATTCTTTTACAAATTTTAAATCACGTCTGTCTAGTTTATTATCAATATATTAGGTAGCGGCCTTTACAATAAAGATTAAATGTAATGTTTCATGTGTACCATTATCTCATGCCTAGTTTGAAGATCTTAAAAAAATGAATGGCAGGAATTGTAATATAGTTTATTGGATGAATCTTAGTTTTCTTTATGATTGTAATATTTTTTTGTCTTTCATGGAAGTGTATTCAGTTTATATGGTTCTTTAAGTAGTTTAGACATTAACAGAGTTTCTGATAGCAGATCTTCTATAAAGTAAAATGCTTATGTTATAATGTAGATTGTTCAGTGTTAGATTCTATGAGCTTAGAATAGAGTGGGTTAACAGAAGCTTTTTTTTTGTTTGTTTCTAATGGAAGCTTTGAAATAAATTACAAAATGCTGTGTGTAGTAAGGAATAATGCCCACAGACAGAGTATGTTAGTCGTCTCGATTTGCTAATTCTGATTCAGAAGAAAATTGGAAACATCTTTGGGAAACTATCTCCTTTTTTGCCCCTTTGGACAAGTATGTATAGAACTCATTTTCTTATTAGGATGATTATATATCATAGGCAGTGAATTTTATATTTATGAATAGAGCTTCCTGTTTTCATCAGTTGGGAGCGATGGAGTATTTTTCAACAAAAATTATAAAGGCGAACAGTCCAATTTTCTAGGCATTTTTTGCCATTTATCCACGCCACTCTAAATCTGCATGTTAGACTTCTTCCTAGTGTGACAGTAACTAGGAGTGGCATAAAGTAAATGGGGTGGGCGGAGACAGTGAATTACAAAATATTATTTGGAATGTACAAGGAGGTAAGGGCTGGGGAGACAGGAGGGTGTCAGAACTAAAATATCTCTGTGTTCTTCCTAGTGCTATTCATTATCTGCTTTTGGTTCATATTAGATCACAATGACTGTACAAATATGTGCATAAGTTTCTTTACAGAAAATTTGATTTTCCCGAAATACACTGGTAGGATATGGGAATGATTCTAGTCCTTTATTTTTCAAATGTCCGGAACTTTTTCAGAATAAACTTTTAGTGATAAAAAACCAGAAATACATTTTGGTGTTTTATTTTAGCTATGGATTTATCATGCCTAATTGTACGTGTAAACAGGTTTTACATTGAAAGGTAAAAGCTTTCATTTAACAGGCAGTTAGTTATTCATGCGAAGGAGAGAAAAATTTTTTTTTGTTTATAAATAAGTTGTATCCATATTATCTGTATCTCTAATTAGTATCCAAAGTAAACAAAAGGAGGGTTTTGTCCATATAGCTTGTGGGATTTCCAAACAGTTTCATGTGTACATATAATAGAATCAGTTACTTGAAAATATGTAGGTAGCTGCTGTAGTATGATAAGCAAATGGTTTTCTTCTTTTCAAATAAGCTTATAATAGTTTCTACATTAGTATTCACTGAAACATCTTATAAACCCAGCATTTTGCTGATTATTTTCTTCCTTAAAATCTTCTTTATGCAAACTTTGGCTTTTCAAATTGACCTGATAAGAAATTGAGTAATGTTTAATATCTATTTGTCATTTAATTACCTGTTCACTTTTTGCAGGTAATCCTCCTGCATGTTATTTTTGGGCCAGGATCATTATTCTTAATGCATGAGAGTTTAGTAGATATTGTTATATATGCACTTTTTGTCCTGCGTGAGGCCTATCAAATTCTAGCAGGAGAAAGTGAAATCATGTGCTTTCAAGTTTCTGTATTCATTATTCACATGAATTTTTTTCCTAAAATGAAAATATATCCTCTTTGGAGCAAATATTACTTTGTTGTAAAAATTTAAAAAACAACAATGATAACTGATGCACATTTGATAATTGGTACACATTTGATAATTAACAGTGTTTTTCATTAGAAATAGCTTACTACATGTGGTGAAGAGATAATGGTTTAGAAAAGTCAATGCAAATAAAACTCTTTTGATTATAGATTTAAACCATGCTTATAATCAGAAATTGAAAACCACAGATTTATTTTTATTTTTATTTTTTGCTTTTCAAAGACCCATAAAATTTTATCCTCTTTGGGGACATGTTAGTATTTGCTGTTTTGAAGTAAGCAGCAAGTTTAGATATACTGTATAAATCATGTATTTTAATGCCATGGAAATGAAATATAGTTTTGATCTTGAAATCAATTTCAATGAAATTGTTGGTATCTTGCTTCTCCATTACTTTGTAGTTAATAGAATGTGTCAGAATTGATTGAACTTTTTGAAATACCAGGGTATTTGTGTTTAAATGCTACTTATGTCTTCATTGTAACCATTTGAGTAATTTTTTATTTTCTTAACTAATGATCATATTTTAATACATTAATTTTACTTTATCTACTTTATCAATATTGTGCTCATTTCTATGCATGTTTTTAAGGATTGTTTTAGACTTATTTGCTGCTAATTCTATTCTTTTATTCTATTCTTTCATTTGCTGCTAATTCTTTTAATTGAAAATCAAAGGAGAAAGTGGTTTGATGGAGGAATTTTTAAACTGCAGAGATCCTAATTTGGCTTAAAATGTTCTGATTATGAGGTTTTAGGAAGGAAATTTTTAATTTATTGTTTCATCTTGGTGTGTGACTATCTTTTCTTATTTTCCTTTTTTTGGACACTTTTTCTTTTTTTGGATTTGATGTATAGCTGTTTAAGCTTACATGACATCTATTTGGCCTTGTATTGATTACTTCTGTTAGTAAAATATGTATAGTTTTATCTATTAAATTATGGTGACTGTGCAATATTCCATTTCCTTGTTTGATGGGGTATATGTTTATGTACACAAGTACATGCACATTTGTCTGATTCTGTATGTATACAAGGCATTGTTTTGTAGTACTTTTTGTAATGAGAGTATTTTTCTCAGTTTAATTAGATCATGTAAAAACTCAAACTAGCACCATTTCCCTGATTGTTTGAACAACTTCATTTGATTAGTTTTAGCAGCTGTGTAAATGTGAGATTATGTGGAAATTGGATGCCAGAAGAGAAAAGCTAAGTCAATCTCTCCCTCCCTCCCTCTCCCTATCTCTCTCCCTCTGCCTGTCTCCCCCTTTCCTCCTCTTTCCCTTTCTTTCTCCTTCAGGCTTTTTTGGTTTCTCTCCCTTTTTTCCCTCATTTCTATACAGGCTCAAAGTAGATTCTTAAGTTATGGTAGGGGATATTAACATTAATCCTCACTAATGAGTACTTGGTAGATTTGGAGCTCTTAACATTCATTACAAATTGTTATATTCTGGTATGTGATACCTCAGTTGTTAGATAGTATTGGCATGTGATTATAGAGAATTTCTTTTAGCTGTTTTTAATTGTTTCTTGAATCCTTTTATGCTAATTTACTTTAATACATTGTTCACATAGCATTAACACTAATTATGAGGATTACTTTGTTTTTTTCTTTGAGTATTCTTTGAAGTGCATAGTGATCCATACTTGTTTAATGTAGCTGTATAAATAATTCATGTTTCTTGTAATTATTAGAACAATTCATCTTCGAATGCTGTCATTTTTGTAATAATAAAAAAAGGCGAGAACTTGCAGAAAATATGGGAAACATGCTCTTGTGACAGCTGAGGATGTGGCTAGACTAAAGCAGGAAACTACTACCCACAATGCAATGTTACATACACTACCACTTAATAAAATTTTTATCAAACATGCTACTGACAAAACCAAAGAAAAATAATATCCCAGCTATGCTATTTAACGTATCTAGGGAGAAGTGAAAGTAATCTTTTTAGAACCTTTGTACTTAGAGAATATAGTAAATGAGACTGCAGGACATTATTGTATATGTTGGAGCACTGCTGTAACTTTGTGCTATGGAACATGGCTGTAGGTAAAACTGTCTTATAATGAGAATCTTTTGTATACTAGCTTTCTTGGAAAAGGTGTACAAGGAAAATCTCCTCTCTTTCAATTGAACTGTTTTAGTGTTAAATAGAATCAGAGGATATTGTCACTTGGAAAAATAAGTTAGAGATATTCATTGTCATTATCTAAACTTTTAATATAGTCATGTATATTTTGTTACAATTTGTTTTAAGATGTCTTTTATTGCAAAGTTGGGGGTAGGACTTGAATTGTCCACTGAGGCATATGTCTTTTTCAAGTAATGTTTTTCTTGTTCTTTATGTTAATAGCTTGCTCCATCAGTCTATGTGCTTTACTGTAGCGAGGTTAGTCTAAAGCAAAAATGTGAACCGCGTTTATAATGTGGTTGAAAAACATGTTAAGGCATGTTCTAAAAAAATCGTGTTTTAATATATTTAAGGTTTCCGTTTGTAAATCTTAATCCACTGTGCTCTTAACTGTCAGACTTCAGCAATTTTGATGAATTTAATAACTTAATAATTTAGATGAATTTTGAGGTTTTATAAAGGAGGTTGTTTAAGGTTTAAATAAGGGAATGTAATAGAATTTTTGAATTGATAACTAATGTATACAAGTTCAGTTAGAGGAAGAATAGAAAAGATTGTAAGTTAGTGTTACTTATGAAGGATTCCCCTCTGAGCATTCCAGTATATAACTTGTCAGTGTTTTGTTTCACAACCAACATAGTAATTGTCATCTCATCATTTAAACATGAATATCATCGTATGTCTGTCTGTATCTCTATTAAGGATGATTTGCTTAATTGTTTGAAGTTTTTTCTCCTTTAGAAACTGCTTATCAATAACAGCTGTAGCACTGTGGCTTTTCTCCATGGACTCATGGTGGTCTTTGGAACAACGTTCTTCAACTTTGACAGGTGAGACAGAGGCTCTCCAGTGCCACTGCTTTTGGATGAATCTAACTGTGGTTGGAGAAAGTGCATCTTGCCAAAATATATGGGCGAGACCACACACAGCCTTTAAAATAGTTATTGTAGGCTTATTTTTAGGAATACATGTCTTGACAGTTCTTTTATTTGCATGCCAGTTTCATTACTGTGTATAGATTTTTCATTGGTTTCAGTAAAGGCGATTGCAGATTTAGGTCTCTATTTGTTAGGCCTTGTGTATAACTTAGGGTGGAAAATACCTTGAGTTCAAGCATAATTAACAATATAGAAAATATATTGAAAATGAAGTGCTAGAATACTGATCTTTTTGTTTTTATATATTTGACAGTATTCCCATTGGAAATCTCAGTTTCTCAGAAAGCATAGCAGTGAAAACTTGCACTAATTTTCCTTTTAAGATTAAGGAAGTCAGGAGAGAAATGTTAAAATATTCATATATTTTAATTATATTAATATTAGAAAATTATAAAAGTATGTATTCTTATAATATTGGTATAATAAAGCATTGTTTAAAATGTAATTTTAAACTTTTACACTTTAGGAGAAGCTTGAAAGCATTGAAACTAGTTCCTGAAGAAGTCTCTTTCTTAATGCATAGGCATAATTTACATGTTATCCAGTCTTTTTATGGGATGATTAAAACTTTATTCAGCTTAATGAACTATAAAATTGTTTGAATATGTTTAAAAATAAGTATTTCTAGTTTTCTAAAACTAGCTTCTTTAGTGACCAGTAGAGATCACTCTAGACTTTACTAAAATGTTAATTGTTTCTTTTTATAAAATGCTGTATTTGGATAATTATTCATGATTCTTATTAAGTTATTAGTGGTAACAATATTAAAACTTCTTGGGAACTGGGAGGTCACAAGACTTTTTACTTGCTGATTAATGAATGTTTCTTAGGTATTTATTTATAATATCTTTTAACCATCTAAGGTGAGATTACAATTTTTTTTCTAGCTTCATAGGGAAAACAGATTCTGTAGAAATAATTGGAAAATCAGTTTTTCTCTATCGTTATCACATTATCCTTCCATTGCTGAATGATTCTGGCAGGTAAGTAGTAGGGAAATTGTGTTCCTATCACTTTTCAAGAGAACAAGTTTATGGATAGAAGAGAGAATGTATTATATACAAATAGATTGTTTAGAGAAAGATCTGGTGCTTGCCTGTCAGAAATTAACATGGATGTGAAACTTGATTGGTTTCTAGATTGAAAGTAGAGCTACATAGGTCACTTTTAGGATATTTGAGAAAACTTGGAATATGGACTGGATAGCAACGATACTATGTGATAATGTGATAGTGTAATCACTATGTGATTAGATGTGATAATGCTATTGTGTTTTTGTAGGACAATACCCATAGTCTTAAAAGAGATATGAGCTGAATTAATAAAATTTAATTAAATACATTCATAAAATAAATACATTTGTAAAATAAATGTGTCAAAATGTTAATTGGTGAATATAAGTAAAGAATATATAGGCATTTATTTCACTGTTTTTCAGTTTAACCAGTGAATTCTGAAAGGTAAACCATTTTATGTTTAAGGGGTACAGAAATTTGATTTCGAATGGAAATCAGGTGAGGAAAATTCATATATAAATAAATTTTAAAAAATGAGTGAATATGAATAGCTTGGGCTACACAGAGCAATTTTAGATTTTAGTTTATAGTTTTATTCTTTAAATTTTATTCACAGTAAAGAAAATGGCTAGTTTTCACAGTTTGTTTGTATATGGCAAATATAAATTGAAGATGGTAAAATATTTTTGAAAATCCTAACTTGAAGAATTGTAAGTTTGTATTATGATAACTCGAGGCTAGAAATTTTTAGAGGATCAAAACAAGCATCTGTTATTGGTATGTCATTTGTGTATTCTTAGCTGTATGCTTCTGGAATATATGTACAAATGCCTTAAAAAGTTTATTTACATTAAATACTATTATATTGTACTACTATTACTGAATTATTTATGCTACTAAAACTGTACTAATACTACTAAATTGTTTATACTACTACATTACACTTTATAAGCAATATTTTAATGATCAGAAGACTACATCTCTATGTACAAAGTATTAATTTTGAATTTGTATAATACTAGTTGATGCCCTACCAGGAATTGACACACTTTTTCTAAAGGGCCAGGTAGTAAATATTTTGGCTTTGTGGGCCATAGGATTTTCTGTTAACTTCCCAACTCTGTCATTGCAGTCTGAAAGCAGATGATGAGTAAACAAATGAGTATGGCTAAATTCCAGTAAAACTTTATTTACAAAAACAGGAAGTTGTGGCCTGGCATGGTGGTTCACACCTATATTCCCAGCATTTTGGGAGGCTAAGGTGGGAGGATCACTTACCCCCAGGAGTCCAAGACCAACCTGGGCAACATGGCAAGACCGCATGTCTACCAGAAGAAAAAAAAGGAAAAGAAAAGTTAGCCAGGCATGGTGACATGCACTTGTGGTCCCAGCAATTAGGGAGGCTGAGGTGAGAGGATCACCTGAGCC